CTGAAACGTAGAAATTGCACGTGTGAACGTTTCGTGCGAAATTATTTTTCTCGTCGAACCGATTTCTCGAGGGCCCTTATCCCTCTTTTCGAGCGTCTCTCGATTCACATTCGGATAAGAATATCAAGTTTAAAAAAAAAAAAACTAGAACAATAATATCGATAATTCCGCTCCAACGTGTTAGACGCGTACACCGATTAGAAGAACAAACCTATCAATTATCGTCTTTTAGCTTATCGAGATGACGAGACAAGCCCTGCTGATCGGCGAAACTCTGCACGTTCCCGAACTGTGAGCGGAAAATTTCGATCCAAAATGATTATCGACACGATTTGACGATTACAACGAGAAAAATGTGACAGATTCGAAATCACGAAGGAAAAATACGGAGATCTAAAATGTACGGCTCGTGACATTCGTTTGTTCGTTCGATGCGTGTCGCGCGTATGGTGATACTCTGTACGCGCGCACAAACGCTCGTCCAAGGACAGAGTAGCCTTCCGAAGGAGGTCAGAGATTTGAGGGGGCAGCGTTCTTCGTTTCCATCACGTGATTTAAAAACGCTTAGACACGCACAACACACGCCGTGATTTATGCACGTCAGATACGAATCGCCTCTCTCGTCCGCCTCGATCATTACCTCGCGCTGATCGCGAAATAATCGTAGGCCGGAATAAATATTTTTCTCCGGAGAAGTATGCGTAGCATCAATATTCCTCGGTCTAATAATTTCACGTCAAATCGAGTAAGATTTGTTATTAAAGATTTATTTTAGTTTTTCCCGTGAAATGTTTTATTTTCTCGTGTTTGTCGTTTCTTTTTTTTTTCTTTTTTTTTTTTTCTACTCTTGGCTTTCACTTCATTTTCTCACGCGAAACATCATCTGGACAGTCGCTTCGCCGTCGCGACTGTCTATCGATTGACCCTGAAGTCGCGAAGTGGCGAATGTTAGAAGCATGAACATTCCAAAAAGATATAGCGCACAAAGATGCATCTCTCGTTCGCGAACACACAATACCAGCGAGGCAAGAAGCAGAAATTCACATTCCGAGCACAAGAAACTCGCGCGCAATTGTCGCCGGTTGCGACAACGCGCGCGGCAATTATCGCAATTTGTCGCGCTCGAACGGGAAAATGAGTTCGAAAATAGGCTTCCATAATAGACACCTAAGAGATTTTCCTAGTCGCGCACGTGGATCAAACGCTAAACACACACACACGTCTAATTATGCGCGCTTCTTGAGTATGCATAATTGAAACGCTCGCAACATCATCGAGCGCGTGATGTGTTCTGTTTGTACGCTATTACGGTCCCCTTTTAGCTCCCACAAGTGTCATTAATTTGTGCGGATTAGTTCCTTCGATACAAACGGTTTGTTGACGTGTCAGAATTTTCGAATCATTACGTTCTTATTTTTACACACACACACATTTTTGATCAGACGTATATTTTATATATAATTCTGACTGGAATCTCAAATTATTTTCTTTAACATTTTCAACAGAGGAATTCTGATTGTACATATTTGAGAGAAAAAAATTTGTTGATACAGTACGTCCATTTAAAATTAAATTGAATTGACTGACGTCAATGCTTTTTTTACGAGTATGTTAAATAAATATATAAAACAAAAATATTACGTACGTATGTATTATTTATACAATTATTATTTGTACAAATTTCTCGAAAAATCAAAACCAATGGAATCGGTTGCGCAGATTGCGATTCGCGTTCGCGAGAGAATCGCGGTTGTAATACAATTCCCATATTTGACAAGCGCGCATATCGACACACGCAGCAGATAACGCAATTCGAAGTGTATCCTCCTAGCATTCGCGCAAACTTTAATTGCTCCGCGATCCCATTCGGATCGCGGTTCGTTTCCATGACGCAGGTATTATTCCGTCCCGCTCGACGTCAATCGCGCGAGTTCTTCGTGTCGCGCGTTGCAGTGGCAACGCCATAAGGTTGGTTAGATTGTTGCCGCAATGTAGCCCGCGATATCGTGATCGCCAGAGACGAAAGCGACTTATCTCTCTCTTCTGGGAACGTGACTTCGTTTAAACGCGGGATGAGATTGCGCGATGCGAAAACGCGATATTTCTATCGAGCCGCCACAATCTTCAGAAATAATACCGTCTTTTTCCCGTGGCGTTTTTTCGATCTTCGCCGTATCGAATGTATCGAAAATTCGCTTAAAATCTTCAATTGTCAAGTTTTTTAATGTAAATATATTTTATTAATATATAAAAACAAAACGCACGTTTTTGAAATTAGAAAAAAACAAAAATTGCTCGCCAGATATGTTTCTCGTAACTTTCGCGCGATAACGAAACTTCTGTCTTTGTAACGCAACGCCCGTTCCTTTCCCAGTCTGATCTTTTGACATCCGCGCGATGTACACACGGACACCCTCTTCCAATTGCGCATTAGCCGACGCAGGTGGTTGGCCGTTTGCACATTCGCACAAACGCGCGTACCACTGAGAAACACGACCGCGCGAAAATAAATCCGTGCAGATCGATTCGCAGTGTCAACGGCCGACGAGATAATCCGCATCGTCAAAGATGCGACATGGTTTTATAGAGAGAAAGGAAAGAAAAAAAAAAGAAAGAAAGAGAAAAGCTTCTGTAAAACTTCTTTCGGAATTACATAATTTGAATTATGTTGCGAATAATCACCGAGTGAAAGAGAGGTTAAAGAAAAAATACTCTTCGCAAACGATACAAAATGATCGCGAAATAATTCAGTACTGATATGTCACATCGAAATAAGACACAAATTGTATCACCGCGGTGTTCGTTCGTTTTGCCTCGTCGCGTCAAAATTCATATATCGACGAATCGCGAAAGTGAACGGGGTTTTCATCACTTCAACAACAGTTCGTGCCGAGAACACACAACAAACGCGTCAACAAACTTATTGACGATTTTTCGAATTCAGCATCGATTGCGCGAGCTTTGTGCTTATTGAATATGACACTTTTTTTATCTTATCTTGTACGCGCACGGCCATGAATTTTTCGGTACTCTCAAAGAGATACAAACGAAGTATATATATATACATGTATATATATATATATGTAACATATAAATTTAATTATCAGGAGAGTAAGCGAAAGAGGAGAGAGGAAGGAACCGCGCAAAGAAGAAAAAAAGAGACACGTTTCTCGAGTGTCAAAACATCTGTGTACTCTCGCGATAACGATAACATCCGCAGATCTCCGTACGCAATCTGCAGATTGCGCGATAACGATTTTTCGACATTTCCACAGATTTCAAAGCGAAATAATGAATGAAATCGAGTACTGCGCTGCGCTCACGTGCGATCAAAATATTTTCGACGCGACGATGACACACATTTGTCGAAAAAATATGAAATAAAAATATTTTTCTCTGTCGCGTTTAAATTGTTAAATATTTATGAGAGAATTGCGCGAGGAAGGGAAAATTCCGTCGAATAAAAAATATATGTTATTTACTTCTCTCGCGTGTGCGTCCCTGACTTAAATTTTGCCGTGAAGGTGTAAGAAAATTATTTCGCGCGAACTCGTGAGCGGAAAGCCGATGGCACTCTTGATGAGATTTTCGCGAAAACACACGCTCTCGTTTCTCGAACAGCCAAACAACTTTGAGTGAAAGGAGCCATTTGTGCAAAATAAACCAGTATCAATATTCGCAATGGTATATACGCAACATGATTGTACGTAAATACTCATGTGTGAGCACGATGTGTGTATGTAAATATTTTTTTACGTAATAATCTCCCTCACTCGCGGATGTATCCAGAGAAGAGACAGACACGCTGTAAAAAAAAAAAGAAGAGAGAGAGAAATGACGAATGTGCAACTCAGTTTCATCTTTTGCTTCCAAAATTGCTTGCAGATACATTTTTTTTTTTTTTTTTTTTTTTTTTTTTTTTTTTTTTTTTTTTTTAGATACATTTTTTTTTTTTTTTTTTTTTGTTATCGCGTTGTCGCTCTTAGATGAGAGACCTACTCGCGCATCTCTGGAGAGACGTGTTTCATCTCACGATGCGAACGCGAAATCGTATCATCCATAGTATCACCGCTCATTCATTTTGCGTGAATACGCAAATTGCGAAGTGAGTCACAAGTCATACGTCCTTCTCACGCCCTCGTCCAGGCCGCACACACGTGCACACGCGCGATGTACACACAGCTAAAGAAAACCGACCGAGTAATGACTCTCGCGCTACTACTACTTCGAGTCTCTGCTGATTTCCACACACGTGACGACAGCGATCGCGGCGAAACACGTTCCGATCGGGTGATTCTTGCCCTCGTTTATGCGCAAACACGCGCTCCCCTCTCGAAATTTCGTTCGCAAATATATAAATTCTCTCTTCCCTCTCTCGCGCGCTATATTTCTCAAAACAGGGAATGTAATCGTTTTCAAATCAAGGATAAAAGCAAACGCGCGCGAGCGTGTTATTAATATTTGCTTTATCGCCGGCGCGATATTTATTTTCGCTTATTTGCCGATCATTGATTTCGCGTTATTATTATTTATTCTTGAAAATATACGCACAGCGGCCGAGACAGGAGCAATGTGTTCGCGTCTCGTCGGAAAAACAAAAAATTTTTTTAATCTGTCCGGTCAACATTTAAACAGATATCGCGAGAGAGACGCAATATCTGTTTGCACTTTGAAGATTCACATACTGCGTGTGTATATATATACATGTAAAAGTTATTCGAGGAAGTCTGTGTTAAATCTCATTAGTATCGCGTATGTGCGAACATCTAACAGAATTACTGGCGTTGCGTCAACGCCAGTTGATTGGCGAACTCGCAGACTGAATGAATTGTCTGTACATATTTATTTCTCAGATCCGATCTCGCGCAAACAACACGAGCTACGTCGTCACGCCGCGGAGAGAGACTATTGCGCAACCGACCCTTGCTCTTTAAATTCGATCACCTTATATATATATATATATATACACACGCACGAACGCATTTGAAGCAAGCACTTACCTCTCGTATTTCACCTGCATCGAGTGCGCGTTGTCGTCCCAGTAATTCTGTGTCTCCATCATCTTGCAGCATAGAACAAGCGGTGCGGTACCGCTGACTTCCGGAGTCCTGCGACGATCAACTTCCGTCCCGGTGCTCTTCTTCGCTTCCCCTTCGCTGCGTGTTGTGCGCTAGCACGGCGGCGTATTATCTCGTCCGGTTCACGTCTTGAGAGAAGCGCCAAGTGTAATTGCAATTGCGGACGCGCGCGCGAGAATCGCACGACGATGGAACGTGCAGCGTCACGTGACAGTTCGCGGCTCCGGTTTCTTTCAATATACTCCGGCGAATTATCTCCGCTCCGGCGACGAGAAAAATCCTCGATCGCGAATCGAACAAAGATCGATCGATCGAGAACGCACGTGCAAAGGCGTGTGAATCGAACGTAAAATAAAACCCAAAACGCGTATGTAACGCACGTATCGCACAACACGACGCACGACGATACGAAACGGCGAGATTAGGTTAGTTTCACGTCTACGGGCTCACTGACATACTACGCGAGGAGTAACACGGCCGGCGGCGCCCGGGAATTCGCCCACGACACGACTCTGCTGCTCCGAGAGTCCAGTTCTCGCGACGCGTGATATCCGTGCTGGCGCCCTCTTTCTCCCGCCTCCCACCTTTTCTCCCGCACTCTCTCTCTCTCTCTCTCTCTCTCTCTTTCTGTCTCTCTTTCTTTCTTTCTTTCTGTTTTTTTTTTTTTCTTCACTTGCTCTCCTCTCCCGTACGACGTGCGAGACGCGTGTGCGAACGAACCGCGCGCGCCCGTTCACCGATTCCCGCCGTGAGATCGGACGGAAGAGTTCTCTCCGGCTTCTGAGAAGAACGCGCTCTCGAGACTTCCTTTCCCGCTTCCTCTCGCACCACTCCGCGGTCGATAATCTCGATTGACGGTATCGATTGTGTGCCGTCGCGTCGCGTCGCGCACACACCACCGGTTTGTGCGCGAAAGATCAGCGAGGAAAGTTTTTTGATCTCGACGACCCGAAACGTCGCCGATGGCGCTCGACGAGCCGCCGGAGTATTGGTACAACGAGCGGTGATAAGGCCGTTGACTCGCGACCGCGAAATTCCGCGACACCGCCAGGGCCGTGTAAATAAACGCCCGGGAATAAAACTCGGTGCCGAATCCGCGCGCGCGCGAGTTCCTGAAGATCACGCGATCTCTCGCGCGATATATATACGTCGAGAGTCCTCTCTCGTGAGATTTCCTCGCGATCAATCGCCGAGAAGCGATTTGTCTCGGAGAGAGTCTCCGATTCTCGCAGCGATACGGATTCCCGCTTGTGAAGGATCGATAAAAATACTCGAGAGGAGATCTTTCGATTAATTCGCTCGCTTTGGAGAGACGACACGGCGGCAGGGCAACAACGCGGCGCGCACAACGTGTGTCGTCGCCTCGACAGGTTACGTGTAATCGCGCGCAGCCCTGTTCGACGATGGCATAGCGAGCAGCGATTCAACGTTGGTTGGTGGGAGTAAAATCCGGAGCCGTTGGCTTCAGGTGCGGCTACAACGATCGCGGAGTCCGCGGGTTAGGTTATTTATTGCGAGATCTTTTTTTGATTTAGGTATGTGAGAAAAAATAAAATGGCGTTAACGTCAAAACATTGAAGATTCGCGCTCGAATTGAGATTTCGACGAAATTTGTAATTGCGCGTAAAATGTTCAGATAATTCTAATCTCTGAAAAAAAATATTTTTTTGAGAGAAAACTTACAACAATTTACTTATACAATTAAAGCACATATTTAATTAACGCAACGCGTTGTAAGTATCTAATTAAAATTGTGATCCACATTTGCTTCTCACTTGAGAAGCGCTGAACGCAAAAAGTAAATTTACTTAATTGATCTTGCGACTCTCGTCCAAATATCTTCTTGAATGACGTAGTATCTTCTCCATTCACGCAGCGAAATTTTCTCATATTCTCGTATCTTTATTTTTCGCCACGTGTATTGCATGATGTAATCCTCGTCCAATTCCCTCTCTGAATAAATAACGAGAAACTAAATTTTACACTCTTAATGCGAGTAATAAAGTTTTTATGTCGAGATATAAATTTAGATGTTTCTTTTTTTGAGTTTCTTTTTCTTAAATAAATATTAATCGAGCGAAGTTTTAAAGAGACTCTGTCGGCGCGCGCGTGAGAAAAAACTCATTAATTAACTAATTCAACCTCACAAAGTGGACGAGCAAGCCTGGAATCGCAAGTTTAAAACGTGCATCGACTCGACTAAGCGATGGCGGTGAGCTCGCGAGATGACGTCGTAATTCGTGATAAGACGGGGCGTTCTTGACACATCACGTGTTGATAATCGTACGCGGAACGACGCGATATGGCATCTGAAAATAGTTTCGACAATCCCACGCGCGCGGATGTTGTTTCTTTTGTTCATATGCTGCAGAGCGCGCACAATTTTCAAAACAAAAACAAACATTTGACTCGGGGAATGTTCGCACTCGCATTCGCGCGCGCTCGATCGCGATAACGCGACGGTCTTGCGTCGCGAGATCTGAGAAAAAGTTATCGTGGGGATGTGCTCGCGCGCGAGATTACCGCATCGCTTCGCGACGAGGAGGAGCGTTTCTCACGTTTTTTGTCGCGTCGTATCTCTTCCGCGAACGCGCGCGGATTTGCAATCGGCGATTTATTCGGCGCGATCGTAAAAATATCGAAAAGGCTGTTTGATCGTAAAAACTGATGAAAAAAAAAAACGCGGAAGGCGATGATAAATTTAATCTCGAAGATAAAGACGTGTGTTAACATTGTGATATCTTTGACGTATTGATATATAGCCATTGAAAATGATTCACGTCAAAATAAATATTGATGACGAAACGATACGGTAATAACGATTTGACAGTGAACCAAGTTTTGCTAAAGATTTTGTTAAACATTAAGAAAATGTTTATATTACTTTTTTCTATCATTTTCTATAATTGTTTCTCTTATATAAAAACAATAGTCAATTAGTTTTTCTTATATTGCGATTTTTCTAGAAATAATTTTTATAATATATGCAAACTTTATATATATATATCACGCCTTAAAAAAAAACTGCGTCCAGTCGCACGATATCTGTAATGATCGACGCGTTTCTTATAACATCGGTGACATTGAAATTCAATCCGTCTTATCGATTGATAGATCTCATTAATTTCATCATCAGAACCACAACATCTGTTTACGTTCTATTCGAACAAAAAGTCTAATAAATATTATTACACTTTTTATATCTTCTGAGAAAGAGAGAGAGAGAGAGAGAGAGAATTTAGCGAAAACTTGTGTAAATTTTTATCGCGTTGTAAATAATATGTTTTTAACAACGGCGTCAGTGAATTTTCATATAAACAAAGTTTTCGCTAAATTTATTTATTCGAATTTAGCTGCCGCCCAAATGTGCGTGTAACTAAAGTAAATTTCATATTATAAAATTACGTCAGTGCGATCAATCGGGTGAAAATAGCAAATGCTCGTTACGTTATCTCCGTGTAGCTTTCAGCTGGACTATCGAGGATAAGACCTGTACCGCGCGAGCATCACGTAATGCGCTACTAACCGATGATGCAAATGCGTCGGGACACGTAAGGTGCTTGTCTGTGAGAAATAAAAGAACAAAAAGAAAAGAAAAATATCCAGCTTTCCAGGTGAAAGTCTGCATCATCGGTTAGGAGGGGGCCAAGTGGGGACTTGCAACGTTACTGACCAGTGCACCAGAGCCAACACAATCTTCGGAGTGGCGGGAGGATCGAAGAGGGAGCAAAGAAGGTGAGTTGTGATCGTCGTGGCACCGGCGCGCGAGTGGGGAGCGTGCGGTGGTTCCACGCTATGCGACACGTGCGCGTGACGTCACGGGGCCGGTCACGCGAGCACCGTGTGCTCTCGGTCACGTGTCCTGTCACGCGCTCAGCGCTCAATCCCTCCTCCGATCGTCCCCCTTCCTCGCTAATTCCACACTCCCCTCTTCCGATCGGCCGTCGGTTCTCCTTTCCCGTCGCGGCTACTCCTTTCGAACGTAGATACTGTATACGTCCTCGGTCGCTTCTTTCTCTCCTTCCTTCTCGCGCGCAGTCGATTAAGATCCAAGTGCAAATCAGTCTCTTTCTCTCTCTTTTTCTTTCTGATCTTCCTCTATTCTCCTTGGTCGTTTTAAGATCTTTGACCTTTTCTAATTATGCCTTTTAATGTCGAGATTGTATTTTGTGACATTTTGTATCCTCGATTATATATTCGCATAAACATTTTCGGCTTTTGCTTGGAAAAAAAACTAAATATTACTAAAAGTCGAATACTCAACGGGAAAAAATAAATAATTCATGTTTTTGAAAAAAAAAAAAAAAAAGTATAAAGAAACGTACGAAGAGACTCTTCGGTTTGTTTTGTGCGTATGTAAATCCCGATTAGTCCCGATAATCTCACCCAAGTTGTTTGTTGGCAACACGTATTTACATTTCCATAGGTGCTTTTTTGTGTTTATTTTGCATGTATTATTTAAATTCCATGTATCGCGCAATCTCGCTCGCGCAGTCTCTGCTCGCGTTACAATATCAAGTTTTTCCCCAATTATTTGCATCCGTCGAAGCTTTCTAAGAAGCTTTCCGTCCGCTGGAGGAAAAAAATAACAAACAAGGAAAAACGAAAAGTAAAAAAAGCACAGCATTTTCTCAATACACGTCGCCGTCCAAGAATGGGCATGACGTCGAACGCCACGCATCTCTCAATAACCGTAACGCGCTTTGTGAAAGAACGATTGATCTCTCGCGCGGGATATAAAAATATGATATACTCTCTCCGAGTTTGTGCGCAGCACGTGGACGTGCCGCCCACGCGAGCGCTATTTGCAGCGTGGGAAATTCAATCGAAGTGAGAAAAAAAGGGTCGACGCTTACGTCGTTGTGGCGGAGGTGGCGAAGGAACTGCGCTAGGTTCTTTCAGGTTCAAGTACGACAAGGAACGAGAGAGAGAGAGAGAGCGAGAGAATAAAGAATGAGAAGCGCATCCTGGGAACGCGAGGATCTATCGCGAGGTTGTTCTTCTTCGAGTTGGATTCTTCGAAATACTAGAACGTCGTCATAGGGAACGTCATCATCGCGGTCGTCGTCGTCGTCGTTTTGAAGAGCGAGCGCTATAATTACATGCCGAGAGCGAGCGAATGTTCTAATTTGCCAAGGACAAACGAACGGAGGCGCACGCGGTTCAGCAAGGTGCGATTTCGCAGGTGCGATAATCGACGGGGGCTTGGCCTGCTCGATCTTCGATATACAATATCTATCTGTTTCTGAGCGCTTTCTCATCGTTGAATGGAAATGAAAGGAACAAATTGCGTCTATACAATTTGTATTCGATTCGAGGTGCGCTCTCTTTTTTTTTTTTTATAAGTTTAGTTGTGCACAAAATTAATTAACTTCAATAAACTCAAATTTTATAAATATATGCAAATAATTTTTCTCAACCGGGAAAGTTTTTGTTTATAACTTTAATGCAAGTGTGGATTAACGATATATACCGAGAAAATTGTCAAGAAAACGTTCGTTCCGATTTCAAAGACACGTCAATATTTATTGCCTCACATTCCTCTGTCTGCTTTCGAACTAAAAAGTCACGTAGAGAAACGACGGCGACGGCGACGACGACGACGTTTAAACGGCGATCGTTTAAAGCGACTCGTAATTTCATTCCGGTCAGCGCTTATAGAAGAGCATGTCGACGAAGGAATTTAAATTGAGTCGTAGGCAGGATGCGGAACTGCAAGTTCGATCGCGTCGCGTCGAGAAACACGAAGAGAAACTTCTCGGAAGCTCTTGGAAAGAAAATTATTTTGTCAACGCGTGACGCGAGAAATTGCGTAAAAAAAAAAAAAAAAAAAAAAAAAAAAAAAAAAAAAAAAAAAAAAAAAAAAAAAAAAAAACAAACAAACAAGAAACAAAATTCGCGTAAAGGTAAATTTAACGCGCGTTTATTACGATTTATTGCCCATTTGTTGTACGCGCGCATAAAATCCGCTTAACGCGCAATCGACGTGGCGGTAAAAGTGAACGTTTACGAGAAATGCGCGAACTTCCTCGCGCGAGAGATAATTAGACGTCGAAAAATGAGAAAATACAATACCGAGACTGCATTTTGTGCGGATTACACGGCGGTGTATATAATTGTTCTCGAAAGGCGAAATTGTGTGAACCGGAAGCGAGCGATTGTTTGTCAGACGCGTGTAAATAAAAAATGCGTGTCGTACGCGCAATAGTTGAGAGCCGGGGATCAAGAATAACCCGGACTCGCCGCGGATCGCGTTTATTTTCTCGCGTACGAGACAAGTCCGAGCTATTTTCGAGATCGCGCGCGCGCGCGCGCGTGTGTGTGTGCGTGTGTGTGTGCGCGCGCGCTGCGCGACTTACTCTCGTTTGAATACGTCAAGTTCGTACCTACTTAGTCGCGGTCTGACTGAAGTCGTGCCCCTTTCCGCTTATATCAAATTCCCCCGTGTGCTAAATCCGTCGTTCTCTCGGCGGCCGTCGGCAAAGCCAATTCAAACGAACGTGCTAATCACAGCGAAGCTACCTAAATATAGCATTGCTGCGTGATTAACGGCGTTTAACAACAAGAGAATGACTTGCAGCATATTATTCCGAAAGGAAAAACAACATTCCGCGCGGTCATTATATTCTAAAGAGACGCATCGCGCGCGTTATCTTTAAACAGTGTTATTTGAGGTATAACCGTGTCTAAAGTTAGCTTGGCGCTAACAACAGTTCGTTGTTTTTTAACAGCGTGAGACGTCGACCGTTGCTTCGTTTTGTTTTTCTTTTGTTCACTTTGCTTTCAATATTTGCTTTGTTAAAATATCCCACGCGAGGAATTGCCGCAACATTAAAATATTGACAAATATGGAAACGCGTTATATTATTATTATTATTATTATTATTAAATGCATTCGGTCGGGAATTTGATTCTCTCTCCGGGACGAGAAAAGCCCCGATGTGAAACGTAACAGTTGGATAAGCGGCTATTTGTGCGGGTTAGACGCGTGACATAACAGCGCGCGCGGCTTTTCCGTGTGACGATTATTCACCGCGGCGTCACCTTTTAAATTACTATCCTCCGACGACGAGAATGGCGTGTCGCGGATGATCGTGTATTTACGTAATTCCGGCAAAATGTAAAACCCGCGCGGCGCTTTCTAGTTCATCGTGCGTGCTTCCTCCTTCCTCCGCGATCTTACGCGGCTTTCGTAATAAACAAAAAAGTCGCACGTGACCGTTATCGCGACCGACTCTCTTCTCGCCGGCTTACTTTTCAATCCCGTCGATTTGAATTTCAATCTCGAACCCGCTCGGATACCGCGCGGAACTGCAAAAATTCTGTATGTATTTTCAGTTGAACGAAAATATCACTGAAAAAATAATAAAAAATCGAATGAAACATTTGTCATTTTTTTTTCTTAAGCACGCGCGCAAATAAAACTCGCGTTTGAATTTGCTTCTGTGTGAATAAAAAAAATAATTACAATGTAAAATAATATTAAAAATAAAAAAAATTGTTATAATTGGGATGTAATTACCGCGCGCGACGTTTAACTTTATTGAGGACATTGTCGTGAGAGAAAAGACTGGATAAATTTGTTCGAGGGCAAAAGCGTGCCGCTCGCAGCTAAATGCGGCGCACAAACATGCATTCTTTCCCTCCCCTTCTACCTTGCGACCGACACCGGAATCCGTGCCGACCTCTTCGGCAGAACAAGGTTCACTTTGCGATTCCAGGCACACGT